CAACACAAATACAGAATAAAAACATCAGATCAGTTCTTTTGCGCCATCTGAATTATTATTTCTTTCTCCTAGGTGGAGAAAGCAAGCCAAGTTTACCATCTAAGAAGGCAAAAATGTGTAGGGCTTCCCAAACCAAGAACAGTCTTTCCTGTGTACAATGCTGCGCTTGGGCTATGTTTGCAGCCAAGCATCTGTACTAATCAATGTACTTTAGAGAAACTCAGACTAGAAAACAGAATAAACTCTTCAGAGCTCAGCAGATGATATTGAGAGAGCTCACAATCCACAGATTTTGTTCTTCCTGCCTATCTCCAAAAAAGACTTCCCACTTCAGTTGGTAAAAGATGCAGGGACTTAAGCTATCTGTATGCAAACATTGTTACACAATTTTTTTTCCCTTGGGTTTTTACCTAATGCAGTTGAAGCCACTGGAGGAGACTTCTGTTGATTGCAATAAGCACTGGATAAGAGACTCCTGGATGCTTTCTTTTCTATTCTTTTTTAAAAGAGAAAGCCACTTTTGAAAGGAGTTTGACTGGAGCACAGGTTTCACAGAAACATCTCAAGAAGGAGCTGAGTCATAACTCATAACTCATGATGGTCGTAAGTCATAAATTCATGGCCATCTACATCCTTTGCTGCTCTCAGACAATGGCAAAGTGAGGTAACAGAGCTGAGCTCGGGTGGAGGAGGCCTGTGGTTGCTCGGGTTGTGTATGATTGCTTAGTGAGCTGTGAGAACCTGGTCGAGTCCAAGCTCTAAGTCTTTGCCATGAAACCTGCCTCTTGGGAAGGCGGCTTGAGTGCTTGGGCCTGCACAGGGTTCACTCAGACACACCATCTTCTGGAGAGAGAATTAAGCACGGACCCAGACTGAGCCTTTTCAATACTTTCCTTAGCAAACCTACTTCATAGTTTGGATCGATATAGTCTGAATTTTTAGATTGTATCCAAAGCCTGTTTCTAGGAGCCAGGCTGACAAAAAAAGGTGGCAAGCATCTCACAAGAATGTTTTATTCAGATTTGTTTTTTCTGCTATGCAAGGTGATGGGAGCTGTAATAGCTTTTTATGACAACTTCTGTAAGGAAAAGCACATAAAAATAATCAAATAAAGGAAACAAAAGAAATTTCAAAGAGATTACTTTTTTATGCGTTTTTTTTCACTTTAAAAATGAAAATTGTCCCACATGTCCCACTTGCATTGACTATCACTAAAAACAGAACCTTTTGGAATGAAAATTGGCTTCAGGATGTGAAGTATGAAATTCAATTTTTTATATATATGTTTCACATCTCAGGTTTTGCATATCTTTGAGGCAAAAATATTCATTTGACTGAATGCATCAGAAAGAAGCATCAGAAAAAAAAGTTTTAGCAACACGAAAGTGGCAAATGGCAACTTTCTACAAACCAGATTCAACAGTTCCCATGCACACTTATTACTACTTTATTGCTGCTACTATCTATTTTTAATCATTTACCTTGCACTGGCATCTAGATTTTTATTCCTAAAATGCAATATAAGAAAGAAAGAAGGGTGGAATCTGAGTTGAGGAGCATAATTGAACTAATGCTTCACCAAATATAGAGGTTCAGAAAAGATTTTCTTCCCAAGAACTCCTAAGCAGCCAGACAGCTTGCTACGAAGTTTGAAAAGATTTAGGGTTTGTAGAAGGCCATACAAAAACAAAACAAAACAGGAAAATGTTCAGTGAAACTTGGACAGCAGTGTAGATCCATATTTATACAGAACAGATTCTACACCTTTTAAATTTATTTTTAAAGTTTTATTTTGTAATCACTGTGCGTGGTCATAACTAATCAAACACGTTACCCACTTGTGGTACTCATGTACAAAGAAACCCAGTCAAGTCAGGTCTCGTTCTCGGTCACAGAGAGGAAAACCGAATGTGGTACCACGGAAAGTATTCCCACTTTCAAGGGCAGAGGCTGCAGACAACCTGATACATTCAACAAGGAAAGCAAATAATAAATGCTTGATATTTTCCATTTTGTCCTCTCATTGTTGGAGAAGATATAGCAACATAACAATGGGGAAAAAAAGAAATGAAAAAAGAAACAACCAAAAAAAAAAATGTTGCTGGACAAACTTAAGAACACAAAACTCTTTAGGATCAGAGATGAGAAAGTTGTACAATTCCTGCCCATCTGAAATTTCCTCAGAAACTCACAAAACCCAAGGCAGAAGAGTCTGTAGCACCTTCCTCAGACAGTGAGCAAAGCACCTACACAGATGCACATTCGGAGTCTGGAATTATTTTTCTTCTGTACCGCACAGTCGAGCAAACAGCAGCAGAGGCAGGTGACAGTTTCCCAGGTGGGCTCGGCCTGCAGCGGCTCTCCCGTAGCAGCTCGGAAAGGGAGGATGTGGCGTGTGCCTGTGTCGGGTCTGGCAGGAGCTGGGCAGACAGGGCTGCCGAAAAGAACAACGCAGAGCCCACGGTCCAGACTGCCCCGGCTGTGATGGGAGGACCCGCTGACCTGCCCCTGTATTAACCTCTTCAGATCTGGCCTCCAAATGCAACTGTTTGAATAACTATAAGATGATTTCATGTTGTTGCAAGATTCAATATGACTGCCATATCAGGCCAGCACAGCTGTTAGCAAAGTTATCCAGTGGCAAGATTGCCAATAACTCATGTCTATAACATGCACTGAAGAACAGCACTAAGTATTAAATCATACTAATTGTAGTGATCGCAGCTGATTCCAGCCCTGCCCCTTGCCTCATGTAGGGTCATATCACATCCCATTAGCGACACCAAATGCAAAGTAAGATGCTTCTCGCTTGGAATGAGGAGGTTTTGCCCAATCATAAATGTCTTAAAGGCAGAAGGGAAAACCTTCTTTCCTAAAACTGAGTGAAGGGGTGGCATTCAAGCAGATTTTCACACAGACCCCCACTTGGCAAGCCTCTCAAAATCCCAAAGGGTACCTGGAATAGGCAACTAAAGTTACTGAAAGAGGACATTCCCTTTGCTGTGTAGTTCTGCAAGTGGTTACTAGAAGACATTGCTTCCTTTTTCTCTGTAGTATTTGATTAGCTTCTAAATATGATCAACAGCTGGAATAATTCTGATTCACTCAATTTCTTAATAGCACCAATATTATAAATCTGATTCCTCATTCTTAATTCTCTTATTCATATCTTTACTCATTTTCTTAGTACTGTGCCTCTATCCCAGTAAAAGAGCATAATTCCTGGTTTACAAGATCAGACCACTTTTCTGCTATTATCCAATAGTAGAATTGCCCTATTAGATTATCTACATTGTCAGTTTACAATGTGTGCAGTAAATATGCCACAAATAAATAAATCACAGTATGCTGTACACATCATTCAGCAGTAACAGATGAACATTAGGTTCTCTGATTTTAACTTACAATGTAAAACAAAACAATAAACATCTTAAATACAGGAAAATCTGAAAAAAGAAGCATTGGAAAGTTGTTCTCCACTACATGCATACACACACACACACATATGTACAAACACACACACACACATATATAGAGGGGTGTATATATGTGTACATATATATTTCTATATACACATATTCAAAACACCCCAAATCTATGGTTTTCTGCATTAGTAGATATGCCTTGTGGAAGCAGTTGGCTCTCCACAAATGCTGCACTTGCTTATTAGACCTTGCTCCTAACAGAGACCAGCCCCAAGACTACTGACTTTTCATTTAAAATAATAGCTATTTAATTTAAAAGTACCTAAAGGATGCTGACCTTCTCAGCATCCAGGTACTTAAAAGGGTCGAGAAATACTATTGCCATTACAAACTAGAAAGATGATCTGCCTAAAGAAGTGGAAGAAAATGGATCATGTAACCCCAGACAGTTCACACAACCCCAGAGAGTCTATATCTTTCTACCATGAAATTAAGCAGATTGTGAAAAAAGTTTTCCAATACATTAAGTAGCTTAGAAACTAAGAAAAATAAATTAGACACAGTGCTTCAGAATCTAATGCCCGAAGGAAAATAAGTGCTTAAATAAATGTTAGGATCTTAATTGAAGATTAAGATCTTCAAATTAATTTGAAGGTCTTTTTGTTAAGAAATGGCATTTCATTGGGTTACAGGGAAATTTTGGCTCATAGGTCTTGTTTCAAGAAGAGCTTGAAAAAAAAGGTAAAAAACCACTTTCTCCCTTCACTCTGCCCCAGAAATGTTTTAGCTGCTGTTACAGGCTGGGAAATTTGGTGTTTGATTTTTTTTTTTTTCACTCTGTTCCCTATTATTACAGTTCTTGCACTTCACTATGAAGTTTAGTTTTCCTTTCACATCAAGGCTTCTATAACTAGTCTTACAAAAATAAGCAAGAAATGCAGTCTCATCAATCCAGGCCAGCCTGCTTAAGAGCCAGATGAGGAAAACCTTTGGGATTTGGGATCTTCCATTTATAAGAAGCTGGGCAACAAAAAAAGCAACAAAAATGTCAGAAGAGCTGGAAAAAGAATGGGGGGCAGGGGAGTGCCACAAGTGGTCTTTCAAGTCCTCTAATCTCATGTGCAACTCAAATTACTATTGGGAAACATGGAAAAATGCAAGCTGACATCATTTCAGGTTTGTTTGAATTGATTTTTGGCATCCCTGGTTCCTGCTGCCTCCTCCTTGACAACCACACACACATCCAGTCATTGCTGCACTGACGTTGCAGTTTACCTCCCATTCCCTTCCCTGAGTCCAGATTCCCACCTCACCGACTGCAGCATCTGCCTTTCAGGTACCCCAAAAAACTCGGGCTCCAATTTAATTAATTGGCTGTTCCTGTTCCAGCCTCGCGTTTCCTCTAGCATCGCCCTAGCTGCTAGCAAATTCACTCACACTCACTTTAAACATACAGCATACTCAAGGAGGAAACAGCTTACGCTGTAATGTTAAAAATATAAGTTGTGCACTGCCATAAACATACTGAATTAGAGGAATATGCTTCTCTCCCCCTCCCCAAAGCACATTCACATTTTATACAATTCCGGTCTTGGTCTCCACTTTGTCCACAGCAGAAGTGAAGTTTGATTCCTGTTCTGCACTTGATTTCCTTTCTTCTGGATAGTGGTTCATTTCTTGCATTTCTAAAGATACTTTATTCCTTTTGGCAAATGCCTGGCTGATCTCATTAAATGTCTTGTTTTTGGTTTCAGGCAGGACGAAGAAGAGGTAGGTGGCTCCTGCCAAGCAGATGGCAGCGAACACCAGGAAGCAGTAGGTCTGTAAACCACTCTGTGAATAGAAAACAAAGGAAATGTCAATACAGATAGTAAAGGGACAAAAGTCAGAAAAAAAGGAAACATCAAGAGCTGCTTGAAAGAAAAAAGAGTGGTATGGAGCAATTTTTAAATAAGTCCAGTAAGTGCTGTCAATGACTGCAAGCTTGGAGTGTCTAAGAAGGACATAAAAACGCACAAATCCTTGGTTCTTCCAGCAGCCTCTGTGGCCCAGCTGTGCAGACCAAGCTCCTGGCAGGGGAGCACAGATCCACAGTCTGGATGATGCTGGGAGGCTTCAGACTGCAGGTCCCAACTGCAGGAGTGAAAAGAGCAGGTGGAAGGACCATGGTGTCTTCAACGCACAAGACTTAACCGCCTCTTGCAGCTGTTTGGTATTTCTGGAAACGAGGCAGACTTTTTTTTACTGAAATATTCTGAGAAGTAGCTCTCAAAATCTGGGGACAAAAACGTGGCAGTCTGGTAATATTGTGCACCTGTCTTTAACAAATGAGAAAACTGTCATAGCCAGAGGCAACTGCATCACACTAGTTACAAGCTCTGTGATTTACAGATTAAACAATAAACAAGGAAAAAAAATGCCAAAAATCTGAATCATTTCTAAGTTTACAAGGGCTTACAGCAGAAACAAAACTATAAAATATACTTCGTTTATGCTAAAGACAAGCATAAAAAACAACTGAAAACAAAATACAGGCCATATTTGAATGTTTCTGATTTTACCGAGCTGTAAAAACAGAAGAGAGACGGGAAAGACATTAATTTAGAAATTTGTTATAAATGCTCCAGCCAACTTGAAAGAGTTGCACTTCATGAAAACATAAGTACTTCTTTCCTGGTGATTATTAGCTCATTTAAAAGCATTCAGTAACATTTTAATAACAAAATTTTGAAAAAATATTTGATAATTACTTTATTGCCATCTATGCTTTGTTGAACTGAGAAGAGATGTTGTATCTTGGTTCCAGCAAAGAACTGCCAAGCTTTCATTAGGGACACAGGGACCAGCCTCCCTATAAGAGGTTTTGAACACCTCTCTTCTTCTCTGCTTGTTGCCTCAATCTATGCCTATGTCCTTGAAACACATATCCAGAGAACATGCTTTTGACTTGTTCTTATTGAGGAGGCTAAACTGAATAGGAATTAGTATCTCCAGTTGGATACAGCAAGCACCTTTCCATGCTGAAAGCTGAAGGTTTTGCTGAAGAAAATGGAATACGTGGAAAAGTGGACACATCTTACATGCAATCTCAGGTGTCCTAAGACAGGTTATACTAGGGCAAATCACTCAAGACAGAGGAAGCTAAATCTGGAGAAGAGTGAGTGAGCGCTGTGAACCTGAAGCATTGAAACTGCTTTACCGAGTACTTCAATGGAGACACCAGCCTTGGCCCCATCCCACAGACCTGCCTGGCTCATCCACCACGCGGCAATGAAGCAAACCCCAGATCTCTGTGCGACACCCTTCAGCTCCTAGTTAAAAACTCTTAAAACTTACTCTTTCTGTCAGTCTCTGGGAGAAATAGCTTTCTATATGTGCGTATTTATGATTTCCATTAAATGTATGTATCTGAAACAATTAAGGCAGTGGCAAATGATGATGCAACCTGACTTTCCACAACTTGAAGAGCATATTCGCATTCTCGTTTGTTCCCAGGTCTAAATGTGAGCTGGTTCAGCTATCTATTTTGGGGGCAGAATAACTCCTAGGAATATTTTTGTGTTTCACTTGCTTAATATTTTCTCATGGCTGGTATAGAAGAACATGATTGCTTTTATGGAAAAAGAAAAAAAAAAACTTTTCTGCAGTCGCTTTTTAATATTATGGCTGATTGATAATCTGTATAGTCACAGTGTTTTCCATAGATAACTCGTTAGTTCAGATTTTTGATTCATTCTGTAATAGGAAAAACTGGAAATGTATGCTCTGAAATATTGACTATGGATTCTTGAAATCGCCAACACCTGTTTTGTTAAACTCTAGCAGCCCAAACTCCTGAACAACCTGATAATCACAAGCCAAAGAGCATGAGTGACAAGCAGGAAAAATATTCTGGGAAGGAAATGCATATTATCCAGAGGCAGAAGCAAAGAGATTTAGCAAACAGGAAAAGAGATAGCTTTAACGCGTCTCATAAATCATCCTGCCACATTCAAAAATTGCATCTGGGTTCTCTATATTTGAAATTGTTTCTCAGTCAAATGGCAGGGCTCCAATTTGGAATCATGCACCTGACATGTTACTTTCCCTTTCGATTTGTCATTGAGCTGAATCTTCTCCACGATAATGAAGAACCATTAATGCCTTTTGTGAGTGGGCCTGACAGCCAAATGCCAGAACTTATCTACACCTCTTGGTACAGCTACAACTTCCCACTACTTCTCTTACTCCTGCTTATTTCCTTGCTATGTGTTATGTTAATGAGTGCTTATTGCCTTCTTTGAATAACTTTATGAGTACATAGTTTATTTGCATATATTTTACATAGTATATTTACTTTTATTGGCAACAAACTTTCTTTCTTTTTTTGCAGATCTCTCTCAAAGAAGCCCTCAATTAAGCTCTACAGAGAATAGGCTAAAAGTTAAAATTTGATATAAAACCTACAAATGAATCCTGCAGGAAAGAGACCAAGATTTTGACCTACTTGCATAACATGGTGGAGCCCTGACTCCTGGGCAGGAATAGTCCAGGGCAATCTCCAGACATGATTTTCTCATCTGCTATTGTTTAGTCACAGTATTTATTTAACACTAGTTATCATTTGTGAGACACAAAAAAGACCAGCACTTATGAATATCCTTAGAATTCTCTGACTCATTCAGAGTTCAGCTATTACAACCTGCACTTGTATTTGCCATAGAAGAATACCACGTGTGAATTAAATTATCTGTAAGTCTGCCTACATTGCACATCTTGATAAAGGATATAGAACAGAACTACTAGATAAAACAGGTAAAGGAAATGTAAAAACCTGAAACCGTAGTCAATAAAAGCTCTTACATGGCTGGGATATTACTCAGCCTAGACTTTTGTTCAAATCAGTTTTATCTGTTTCTGATGTATTATGAACAGGCTGGTGCCAGAGGGAAGGTACTGGGATGGATCAATTAATAGATTGGCCTCTGCATATCTAATGTGACAGCATATCAAGTAAACGTCAGATTATGTCCCAGGAAAAGGGTGAGTTATTGAAAGACAGTTACTGTAAGAACAGTACCAATAGGCAGATCTGTCAGGAAAATGAAGCTGGGACTTTGTTCTGTGAAATTGTTACACTTTTATCCATAATATGAATATGATAGTATTATTATTATCATGCTGAAGAAGTCCATACCTATAACTTGGTCTGGTGTCTGTAACCTCCAAAGGTTACACTTTGTGCACTTTGTGACATTGCTTCACTAATTACATGGGACAGAAGAATCAGTCTTCAAAAACTGAATAGCTATAACCATCCAAAGAGTAATTTAACTCTTAGTGAAAGAAACAGAAACAAAACCAAGAACACATCCAAACAGCTGGAGGAAAGGGCAAAAGGAGAAAAGGGGAAAACAAGAGAAGAACAAGCTATTTCTGAACGCTGAACAAAGATTCTAACTACGTGTGAAACAAAGCCACTGAAAATACACAATTTCCATTACTTCCCAGATATCACACATAAACATGGGATCCTACAGCAGTCTATGATGCTTAGCTGTTTCCCCAAGGTTTCTTTGGTCCTTCCTGTTGCACGAGCACCCATCGATCAAGAGTTTCAGATACAACCACGAGTGCCTCGGGACGGCCAGCCTTCCTGTGGGCAGCCAAAGGTTCATTAAAGGCAGCAGAGAGAATAAGACGAGAAGGGTACGTGTGCCTACTGGTGCATTCCCTGGGGAAAGCACTAGGACACTCGCAGCCTGTTCCTAGACAGCCCCCTAACACATCCCTGCCCGGGCAGAGCTCACACTGTTGCTCTCAAGCCCTGTAAGGGCTTGAGCATGAGTTTTTTATAAGCTAAGCATAAAGTTTAAACTCATCCCCTCTATTTGACATCGGCTTTCTACAGAGGTTATTTAAAACGTACTATATTTGAATATTTGTATATTTGAATACTGAATTATTCATTTTTCATTTTCCCTTCACTCTTACAGTTGATCAAGGCTGTAGCTGCAGAAAAAAAAAGGTGGGAAACAGGAAACAATTCACTACACACAGTTTACACTGATACAACCTTAAGACCTGCATTGAATTGCCACAAATATAGAGTTGAAGACATAAGCAGCTCCCCCCACATCTGATCCCAAGTTTGGCAAGCAAGCAGTGCTGATTTGTTCCTGCGTAATTGGGATTTATGAAGGAGGAGGTGCATAAACTTTACAAACATACTCTCATACTCCTGCACACATAATGCACATGGAATAGGCATTTCCCCTTTCTCTCTTTAAAATAGGAATTAAACATTCTTTAAAATTTTAACCATTTTAGACAGACTTCAGAAAGAGCAATGCCAAAACAGATTAGCATGAAAGCCCATTTTTGAAGTAAACTGAAGCAAACAAAAAAAAATCTGGCATTAAATAGGCAATAATCTTTTTTTTTTTTTTTGATCAAAATTGTTAACGATTTGCCACTTAACGAAGTCTGCTAGTAGAGGACAGTTTTATGGCTAACAGCTTGTACTCTGTGAATAACAGAGTCTGTAAAACATAAAAATAGCTGAGTAGAAGATCATCATGTGCTATTTAATACCAGATCAGTTGATCATTGGCTTAATTCATTTTGTAGCTAAGTCTAATTACTAAGTAGAACTGTTGTAACTGACAAGAGAAAGACAGATATTCCAAGGTAGACATGGGAGAGTGAACAAGCAAATGAACAAATTCTGAAGCAGATGTAGCAAGTTTAACAAATTAGCATTTTTGAAACAGAACTTTTGGCTCTTTCTAGGAAATAATAAAACAGCATTTCTCATTCTATGCCAAGCTGATGCTTTCTTGTTGAGCTGCAGG